TATATAAGTGGAGCTACAACTTGAAAAAAATTCTTGATAAAGATTCAATAATAATTGAAAAAGTCCAAAAAGCATTGTACATCTTGTACTGTTTTTGGAATCTTTCAATCTATGATATTTTGGGCCTTCTTTGGATCCATCATAAGGCCTTTATTGGAAAGGACATATTTCAAAAAGTCAACTTGAATAGTATGGAATATATACTTTTTCATCTTCGCATATAATCCTATATCTTTTAGTTTTTATAACACTCAAAAAACATAAACTTTATGATCTTTTTTATTCCTAGAATAGATTAAAATATCATTCAAATGATAGACAATAATATTATTAAGAAATTCACAAAAAACATCATTCATTAAATGTTGAAAAGCAATTGGTGCATTCGTGAGTCCAAAAAACATGACATTATATTCAAAATGCCTACACCTAGTTTGAAAAGCAATCTTCCATTCATCTCCTTCTTTGATGCAGACCAAGTTATATATTCCTCATAAATATATTTTTGTATAGATCTTTACTTGATTTAGTTGATCAAGAAGTCTTAAAATCAAAGGTAGAGAACACCTATTCTTGATGGTAATCTTATTAAACCTTGATAATCCACATACATCCACAGAGATCCAACTTTTTTCTTCACAAATAAGATAAAAGCGCCAATTGGAGATTTAAAATGGCGTATAAAGTTCTTAGCCAAGTTCTCATCAATGTAGTCTTTGAGTGCAGCCAATTCATTTTATGATAGACTATAGATTGGTTCAATTTAGTAGTTTAGTTCCTTCTTGAAGATCGATGGTACAATCATGATGACAATATTTCAGAAGAATATCTGCATTCTTTTTTTCAAAAATATCCTAGAAATCTTGATATTGGCTAAGAATATCACTTGATCTCTTTTCACCATCAACAATGGGCATGGCATATACAGCAAAAGTTGGCCCTTTATTTGCGACATGTATGAAAGCTCTCACATCTACTAATAAGAGTTTGGATATACTAGACTTATGGATTTCTATTTGTCTAGCAAGACCTTAGATTAAACCATAAAAAAAATTAAGATTATGAGAAATTTAGTCTATTTGAGGGTTTTATCTTTTTAACCACAATAATCCTAAAATAATTGGATTAAAAGGAGATTTAATCGCATTTAATATTATTAAGCTATTATGACCACTAATTGCTACTTCTACAAGAATAATTTTATGTATCACATTTCCAAAAGACAATAAACATCCATCTATTACTTCTACATGCATAGGTTTGATTTTCTTAATTAAGAATATATCTTATTTTTTGACAAAGTCTTCATCTATAAAACAAGCTGAGGCTCTTGAATCCAACAAGGCTAAGCCTTTGTGATTTTTTTGTCCTAAATAGACTTCTATTGTAAAACAAGGTGAGGGATCAAAGGAAAGAATAGGACCTTTACTAGATATTGCACATGATTCTAGCCGCATGGTTCCTATTATAGCTGAAACAACTTATTTTCTGACGCATTGTTTTTTTTAGCAATTGTGCTTCTGCTTTTATGATTGCATTGTTTCTTTGGACAATGTTGAGTAGTATGTTTAGTTTCTCCACAATATAAGCATAAGTCATCTTAACATTGTCAATTCTTTTCATGCTGTATGAGAAATTTAATATGTATTGTATCAATTTGCATTGGTTCTAGCTTTGATAAATAAGTTTTTAAAAACTTAGGAGCTGCCATCATTATTTGATTAGTTCTTCTCTACTCATATCTTTGTTCTTGATGTCTTTTAAATAATTGATTGTTATATGCAATGGCTCAAGCAATAAATTGTTCAAAAGATTCTATCTTTGGCATTAAGAGTAACAAGCCTTTGACATTATTCTTCAATCCCTATCAAAATTGATTGATAAAGACTTTGTCATTTCAGTCTATATCACAAGCGAGGTTCTGGAATTCAACAGCATATATGGTGGTTGATTATGATCCTTATCTTAAAGATAAGAACTTAGTTTGTACTACTCTTTTTTAATCACTTTCTCCAAATGTGGCTAGAAACATTTGTAAGAATGAATTCAAGTCATAAAAGACTTGCAAATCTTTTTCCATTAAAAGTGCAAACCAAGAGAGAGCACTTTTTAATAGAAGTGCGCCTATGAATCCAACTTGAATAAATCCATTAAGGTATTGGAAATGATGCAACATTAGATAGAGCTTGACTAATTATAAAAATCCTCAAAATTTTGATCTTATTCCATCAAACTTCTCAAGTATACTAATCCTTGTCCTTGTCCTACTTGTAGAAGCAAAATTCACTAGATTTGGTTCTGAGGTTGATCTACTTGCTTCCTTCAACTACACAACTTCTTGCTGTATACTCTAAACTTCTTCTATAGGTGTAGGCATAGTATCTCCATGATTCAAGTTGGAAATACATGAGATTTTTACTCTTAGAGTGTTGATAAGTTCATAAAGATCTGCAATAGTTGCAAATCTATTTTTACTTCTACTAAGAGTAGCATCCATAATCTTTCCTTTGATGGACAACTCAAACAAATTCAAAAAGTTAAATTAGTTGAGGGTAATCCGCAACCGTTAATAAAAAAATATCACAAAGAGGAGTAATCCACTTTCTTTAAGGAAAAGATTAGTGTTAGAAAACAAGATTTTATTGTTTAAATGTAGGTAGTCCACAACCTTCAAAACACAACAATAGAAATGGAATAATCAACTCACTTCTAAAACAAGACAAAAATAATATATTAGTACTCTTGTCAAATTATCAAAGACATGAAACTGAAAGAAAGAAAATCCTCAATACAGTCTTGTGTTACTGAAGAGAATTAGAAAGTCACTCAAAAGATGATGTAATATTAAACTAAAATGGCTATTGCCAAAAAAAAAAAGACTAGAAAGTCTTGAAACAAGACTAAGGACTATAAAGGCGTTGACAAGAGTGAAGAAGGCTTCACTCTTGCCTCTATATATACTCTTAACTAAGAGCTATATGGCAATGTCCAATAAGACCTCCAAAAGGTGTTGACTTTGCAAGACACGTATCTTAACTTGCAAGACAAGTTTTTTATATGTTTGCTACATAGTTAGCTTGTTTTGTAAGCTACCAACATGTGATTAACTTATTGACCAAGTTTCTAACCTATTAATTAACTATCAGCACATATAAAGTCAACAACATCTATAAAGCTTTTCTAAAAGGTCTTATGAAATTAACCTACTTTTATCTACTTTTATCTATTCCTACCCAATCATATAGATATTTACTAGAATATCTATATTTGTCCGTGACAAAAATCCATCCAATGAATGTAAGGATCATCATTACCTTTAAAAAATATTATTGTCGCTTTTAACTCCAAGATATGGTTATTAAGGATGATGTTAGGAAGGTTGATATCTACAAAGTTGATCAATTGATTGCAATGTGTTGGAGTGATGTTATATGGAATAGTATGCCTACAACTATCATTAAGCATATCAGCTCTAGGCATATCAACTTACTAGATAATGCAGGCATGGCAAATGAAGAGGGCATCCTTAGAGGGACAATCATTGATGATGAATTATCTTCAACAATACAGCAACTAAACATTCGTAACTCAATGTCTTTTGAAGCGCTTCTCAATCCTATGGAGGAGGAAACTATCCATGAATAGTTCACAGATGAAGAACTTGTTGAAATGGTAGCAAGAAATGAGAATGTTATTGATGATGTTCACAAACTAGAGAAAGCAGGATAAGAAATGATATCCAAAGAGATTCTCAACATTTGCCAAAGATTTGTTAAAATCCTTGACTTTTTGATTCCATCCCATCTTATAATCCATAATGTTGCTCAGCAAACTCAACATGCATTGAGAGGCCAAAAAAAGCACTAAACTTCACTCGCTTTTAGCTTCAGTCTCAATTCTAATTACTTATTGGTATTATACATCACTTATATTATAGAATCTAATAGTTATCCCTTATACAATATAGTTGCTGCTGACTTTCATCTATACCCTTTATAAATCAATTTCAAAATTCTATCGGATATTAGAGATTAAAAGATATTTGTTTAGAATATGGGAATACAATTGGTGGAGCATGATTTGTATTGGATATTGGAGGGTATCTGCTTACTGAGGATCAAATAGCTAAGGGTCAATTATATACAAGAAGAAAAAAATATATATATACTACATTCTTATTTTTTATTTATATATATATATTCAAAGAAAAACAAAAGCCAAAAATACCTACAAACAAACAACAAGGATGAATGTGTGAAAGTGAACCAACTAAATGGAGAAATATAATTCTTTTAATTTCATGCAAAAGTGCATGTGGACATAGTAACAAGTCGGTAAAGAAAGAAAAAAAAAAAAAAAAAAAAAAAAAAAAACACTGCTGTGCTCACTTAACCACAAAGAAAGTCATATCAAAGAAACAATTTGAAATGTTTCAAGAATAGACTTTCAAAAACATACACCTAAGATTATGAGAATAGACTTTCAAAAACAAAACTGTACAGAGAGTCCATTAACGTAGTTGCGAAGAAAAAGAGGGCAAACCAGAGGTTACTGACGGAAGGGCTAGTGCACCTCCCCAGCAGCGCCAAAGGAGTGCTCAAGTTTTAAAACATGATTCACTGCCTGTCACCCCCTACAAGTAATGACAATCTCTCCACCACATCATTTCAAAGTGGTGGAATTCCACATACCCCTATCCCATCGTGCATTCGCAACTCAAATGCCTACTCCAGAAAAATGAAAAATGCTGCAGATGGTAATTGAAACCAGCCGTGAAGACCCTCAACTGACACCCGAATATTTTCACCTAGCACTTTCACAACCACCAACATCTCCTGCCATGCTCCACTTTCTCCTTCCATTTGCGGCATTGCAGTACCATCTGCGTCGCTGCTCACAAACATCACCCCCTTCACAACCACCACACCAACATTCCCCTCCGCTCTCACATTCCACACTCGCCCACCCCCTCAACTTCACACACCACTTCGCACCTCAAGTTCAAGAAGAAATATGAATGCCCACAAGGGACGCGTTTACGAAACAAACTGAACATAACTGTGCATTCGTATTTCGTGACACCCGCTTGCATCACTCCTACCACGCTGCACATTGTAAACTCCGCAGCTACATACGTCCAAAGCTTCAGCTATATGTCTACGTCCTACTCTCCACCAGTTACATACGTATATACAGGTCCTTCACCCGCTTGGATGCAACCTACTCATCCCCCTCCTCTCCCCTGCGGTCCCCCCTGAGAACCTACAACTTCTTCTTAGCCGGGGCTCTAGGAATCTTCTGTAGCACTGCGTTATCGATCTTCTTATACTGGACGCTCGCCGTGTCCGCTGCCTTCCGTGCATGGTGATCGATCACGTCCTCGTACTTGTCGAAGATGAACGGAACCACGTGCAGCAACACGATGCCTGTCACACAACCACCGTCACGTCAACGCCTGCACACCGCAACCCCCTCCTCCCTCATCCATCCACCATACACGACTTCGCCGCGTCATCAATCAAACTACTCCACTTCCTCACCCAACTCGCAAACCTCACATACCATCCCAACTTCCACTGCACCTCCTTCCATGTCCACAACAAGCAAACACGTAAACAAACCACCACGCCATTGCTTCACGCTTGCTCACACAAGGCACCCCACTTACCGATCCATATGCAAGTCAGGAAGTTGAACCACGAGGTCACTGTCGACACCACATACAAGAAAGCAATCACCTGCACATCACAACAACCATTCCTTCAACTCGTCAAACTCCCATCACTGCCTCTGGAAACACGTCACACCAACATGTATTCCCAACCCACGGATTCGGTCAGTTGCCCACGCCTTCATCACATACTCAATGCCCAGGCACGCATTCTACAACGCACTCCAGCCCCATCAGCCGACCAGGCTCCACCGGCAAGTTTAGACAGATGAAAGCACACAAGCGTTCAAACTCAACGACCACGGTAAAGATCCACACATGCAAAGCTCCTCAAACTCAAAAGGTCAAGTCAGTGGTAACATGCCCAAACCACTTACAATGAAAAATAGCTTGAAGTCCTTGCCAAGAGCAACAGTACGAGCAACACTCAAAGCCTTGTTCACTTCAATCCGGACAACATTGGCTGTACTCAGAACAAGATCCTCTGGAAGAGTCAGCTCCGGAACCGGCGGGCCAGGCCTAACCAGATTCACAGCAACACCACGTTACTAAGGAAGAGGTGGTCATGAATGAAATACTGAGGCCTCCAGCTTAAGGGAAAAGATACCTAAAGTGGACTAGAGTATTGTGAACCGGTACAAGAGATGAAAAACTTTACACGGCATTTATGTACAGAATTTCAGTGGTAATTACCATTTTCTCTAAAAGACACACAATATAGTGCAAGTTCTACAAGTACATGGCGAGAAGCATGTTGACAGTTGAATATGAAGATGTGAGGGGAAACCAACCTGTGCAAAAGAGAGGCGACATTTGACCAGAGGAAGAGAATCACAATCACGAACAAGAGAATGTTGCACAACAGTGTAACAAGCGTGTAGCCAGATTTCTCCAAAAGGAACCAGATGAGCGTTGATCCACCCAATGTTCCAGCGGAGAGGTACTTGTCTCTCCACAGTGCGGAATCAGCAGCTTTACGGATACAAAAACAAAGCAAAAAATCCAATAAGCGAAAATGGACTGTATGACTACATTGGGAATACTACGATAAACATGTAATGCATCATCGCGAGTATTCAGTCTGTACTGCACTAACAGAATTACCTCGGCCGCCACCCAGAAGCTGGTGCACGTTCTTGTCCTTCATCAAGAAACGACTGCGAGGGGCGTACTCTGACGCGGGCGCTGTCTGAGAAGCAGGCATCTTGTTAACAGTCTCCATCACAGGATCTGAGATTTTTTGCGTCAGATCACTTTGTTCTGACATCGTGCTTGAACCGAATGTTCAACCAACACGTGATTACGTCAAATCTGAAAAAATTCGGGATGAATCACAGTTAATCCCCGGCGACGACAAAGGTTCAATTGGAGCAACAAGCTACACAACAAGGTAACAGTAAAATTGCAAGAATACCAGCTGCAAACTGGGTACAGTAAACAAGAAGTGCGGAGCTCCGACCATAACAACAAAAAAGCCAGGGCAGGGATACCAATTCTTCTCCGACTCACCACCATCATCTTTCAATATTGAAGCATCTGAACGACCGACACACTCGCTATGCTAATCAGAAGAAAAATGGACGACTTATTACTTTGTAGCGAGCCACCCATGGTTCGAGAACACGAAAATAAACAAAAATAAAAACACCAAAAGGCATTAAGCACAGCAAACAAAGATCAAACTGCTAAATCCCATCTTGCCCGCCGTCAATACACCAGACCTTTCTCATACACTTGACCCCAAGCCACCTCTCTCATAAAATCCTCACTGGTTTACGATAATCCCCGAACCATAGACTCCCAGACCCAAACGCTAGCTCCACCCCTAGTCAAAGATCACCACCACGCCTCTCCCTTACCCTAACCCTCTCTAAGATAAAAACATCTAACGAAAACACCAAAGCACTCCAGGCAACTTAAAAAAATAAATAAATAAATAAACGCCATTACCAAGTCAAACTCCCTCAACCCAACCCTTGAGACACAGATCCCTTCACTACCAAAAGAAAGACAAAACCTACGCACTCAAGCCTTCCCCACCACTCATCATTCTTACGAATCTACTCCCTCTCCTCCGAACACACACACTCGGCGGAGAAATACTCACCACAGCAGCAGCAGCGGCACCTCAGCCCTGCTCAAAACGACGCCCTCAGCTCTCAGAAGGAGAAGTAGTGGCTATTGCAAAGCTCGAGAAGCAAATGTGCGAACGATGAATAGAAAGACGCTGGCCAAGGAAAGAGGGAGAGGGAGACGGGTCTCTGTGTGTGTGTGTGTGTGTCGGTCGGCCGGGCTGACATACGAAACCTTTCAGCCCCGTTGCCCGGCTCTTGCGCGGGTAAGCTTACCTGGCACCACCTGCGTCTCCCGCTCTTGTTACGTGGCACCACAGCTGGCTGCCACTCATAGTACCCTATTCACACTGCCATGCAAGAGAGAGTGAGACCATCCCCGAAAGTTGCAACTACATTCATTGCATTTGTTCAGAAACGGGACACTCTGCGAGAAGGTACATGAATGAATAAGGGGCTTCGGGGGGGGGGGGGGGGGGGGCTTTAAACAGTTGTAGGTTGGGTTTTGAGTAAAGTGATTGCAACGAAACACATGTGGTCACTCATAAACTTGTTGATCCCAATTTGTAATGCTTGGAATTTGTACTCCAAGATTGAGTGTGTTTTTTTCAAGGAGAAATTAATATAGCATTTTTTTTGGACATTGGAGCAACCAAAAGAATGAATTCTTTGTATATATGTATGTATGCATATATATATATATATATATAAGTTTAATTTTATTTCCAATAAAAATAAATTGAATCAAATTTGTTTCGTCTCTCTGTTCTTTTTTTGTATTTTGTATTTTTTTTTTTTTTTGGAGTATCTTGCAGTTTGAAGTGATTTCAATTTATTTTTTAAATTACTCTTTTGTTGCATACAAGATAGAGTTGCCACAAATTGAATCATAAAAAATGTTTTTTTATCCTCTTATAGCATGTTTTTATATTTGAAAGACAAGGAAAGATTCCCTTAAATGGTTAAAATTGAATTCCTCATTAAGTATGATTTATAGTTTTGAAATATTAGTCGAAAGTCCTTTAAATGAAAAAAGTGATATAAAATGTGTTTTTTACTATATGACGTGAATTATCTTGTCTCTCAAAAATTCCCTTCAGGCTCATTTAAAGAGATGGTTTTTAGAAAACATAGAGAAACTGTGTCAAAAATCACTTAAAATAACCAGTAAATTAAAATTTAAAATATTTTTATTATGCTACTTGTGATTGTTAAATTAAGATATAAATTGAAACATTTGTACTTTTGATTTTAAAGATAACTCTTTTTTCCATCTTATGCTCTTTTCTTACTTTATTTTTATGCAAAATCCAAGGCATCTAAAAGAGGATACTAATTCTCCAAGAAAAGAACCAAAGTCTATTGAAGTGGATTTTTAGGTATTAAAACCCTCCAAGGTCTTTCTTATTACTAAAGTAGTCATATGAAGCTAATATATTTTGTTTATATAATTATTGTTGTATTGCTTATCCATTATTTATTGCAATTGATTCAATTTTTTTATCTACAGTCTAAAAATAGCAACAATATTCTGTATTTTAAGATGCTTCCAAATTATGGTCTTTGAGTTCTATCTTCTAAACCCTTACAAAGATTGAAAGCTAGCCAATAAATTTTGACTTTAAATACCAAAAGTAGGTAAAAAAATCTTTATTAGGGTAAAAAAATAAAAAATTTGATTTTTACCTCTTTAAAAGATTAAATATTTATTCTTTTAGTTCTTTTATTAATTATTATATTTTATAAGAATTATGTATGTATATATTATTTTGATTGTATTACTAAATTTATGATAAAATCAATAATCTTATTCTTTTCAAACAAACAAATAATTTAAATATTAATAATTACGTGATATTTTTTTATACTAAAATTTTTAAATATAATTTTTTTATCAACAATCTATTAATGTGTTATATATATATATATATATATATATATATATATATATATATATATTATTTGATTGAATTGATCAATAAACTTCTTTATCATATTCCAAAAATTTGATATATAATTCACCAATACTATAACAATTTTGGTATATTTGCCATGGAATTTATTTGTTTGTTTGCAAAGAACATTGGCTTGTTTAAAAGAGACACTATAAGTATGAAAACAATATATGTAATAAAAAAAACTTTGGTGATGTCAAGAAATTTTATGGTGAATATAAATTAGATATCATAATAATTGCACTATTTATAATAAATTAAAATTTAAAGTGTAAATGTAAAATTCGTATATAAATTTTGGTTTAAAAATAAACATTGTAGTGGTATTTCTTTTACATTTGAATGCATTTTACACATTACAACATGCTAAATATTAAATTTACAATCTTTTACATGTACATTCGACGTTTTGCTTTGATAAAGACGACGATAGAAAAATCCCTTGATCGTTAGTACAGGAATTCAACCAACAATACAAAAGCTAGATTGTTTTAATTTAATTTGTAACAAAATCAGAAATTGAAAGAAAAATGCACAAGAACCAAACAGGATTCATAATCTTTGTTTGTTTATTTCTAGTTATATACACAAATAATAACGTTAAAAAATGAATTAAAAGGAAGCCATGGTGCTATACATATATATATATATATATACATATATGTTTTTGAGGATCGTGACAATTCTCAACTTGGTCGGTAGAGAGGCTCTCACGTTCCTCACGTCACTTCTAGTCCACATCGGATGAATGACGTGGAATCAATGACGTGGACTGCCAAGAGTCTCGTGAGGATACAAGCTGTTGGACTTCCCACAGCGTCACCAGAATCTCTTTCAGCCAACCAGAGCTTCCTATTCTGCCACGTCTGCACCGATTCCGTGGGACCCGTAAATTCCAGGTGGACTTTCATGGCACAGAATCTTCTCCCGGGACCCACCGGATCTCTAGTTCCCAGTGGTTCCCAGTGGTTCCCGGGAGATTTGTGATACCATCACGGGTAGAGGGGCATATAACCCGCGCGACGTGATCCCACCCATTGCATTTAATTTTATTAATTTATTTTTCTGAAGCTTTGCCAGGTCAGCATCCCCTGCTTATTCCTTTGCAGGCAATGTCCTACTAGATTGTCACAGTCCAATTTATATATATTTATTATTTATTTGTATATAATATATATACGAGAATGTAAAATAGACCCAGATTTTTATTTAATTAACCCACCCATCATGAAAAAAAAAAAAAAGAAGAAGAAGAAGAAGAAGAAAAAAAGACTTTAAGATTAAATTATCCACTACTGGATCCATTCCCAGTGAAAACCAACTATATTTATCATGATTACCATATTTTTCATCAAGGGTAGGTCAATTTACTAAAAAAAAATGGGTTTATTTAACATTCGCCTTTATACATGTATATTTTTTTATTTTTATTATATATTTTTTTTACATTGCTCTTGTGGTTAGGATTTGGAATTAGAAGTTAACAAGTTTATTATCCCCCAAAAACCTTGAAAATGTTTTCTTTCATTCTTGTGTTGTCAAAAATTGACCCTAATAACTTGTTTAAATTTAATTGTGCCAATTTTAAGACAATTTCTTTTTAATGCAAATTATAAATCATTTTATTAAAATGATTCTGAATCAATATGGTATTACAAATTAAATCCAATTAGTAGAATGTACTGTCTGATCTGTTGGTAAATAAAAACTTGTATACTTATGAAAAACTTCAAATTCTTGTAATCTATATTTTGTATGTTGAGCTCTTTTTGTACCAACTTTTAAAGCAATGTTGTGATTTTAGAACAATTATTGATAAAGTTTGTAGAAGTTTATAAATCTCTAAAAAATTGCATGTCTTTAATTGATGAACACCAATTCTACTCAATGATGATTTGAATTTTCTTACTACCAGCATTTGTTTTTGTTTTTGTTTTTGTTTTTTTTTTTTAATTTTTTTTTTGTTTTTTTTACATATTTTTAATATACTAGGAAGCAAGAGACTTGTATAATGTAATTTTGACCAAATTTTTGACTAAGATTACATTATCCAAGTACACCCACATTATAAAATCTTACTCATTTATAAGTTAATCTTATGCTTAATGATATATATAATTGTTTAATAATATCCAAATTAGTACATACTTGAACAACTTGTCTTCATTCTTAAATAATGTGCATTCAACACAATCCCAAATATATACCAAATACTAAACACCAAATCCTAAACAAAACCTTGAATTCTAACCAATCCTAATTCTAATCCACTTTTTAATTAAATCCAACCAATCTTAACTTTTAAAAATACTTAAAGTAACAAAGTAAATAGAAAGGTGATCAAGAATGGAAATAATTCCATACAAGTATTATGCAAATGAGAAAAGTAAAAAAAAAGTGAAAAATCCAAGAATTAGTAACATTAAACTTGTAGTAATAAAAAATCTTTATTTTAGAACTTTATTTAATGAGCTAATTTCCTCTCAACAGATAATCCAGCTTAGTTGAGAAACCGAATTAGTTATTTAGAACATGTCACCTAGCGATTGGAATTTGTTTTTTCTTTGCTAATTCTTGGAGTTCGCATTGTTTCCTTGGTGTGCTTAAGCTTCGCAGGCTTCTTCCCTGTCAGTGAAGTAACTGGAGCAGCTTCGGTTGGAGAAACAGCAGTTGCATGCTTCCCTGGGCCATTGCGATCATTGTGGCTCTTCTGACCATACTCTATCGCTCTTCGGTGTTTCCGCAGTCGGAGAAGGTTTAGTCGTTAATTGTGAAGACTCGGTGGATGACGTTTTGCAAGGGCAAACCACCAAGCTTCAGAGATGCAATCATGTAGAAGCATTTCGCGAGCATCTAGATGTTGACATGCGTAGATCATAGCATGTATCGTTTGGACCCGCTTGCCCAACTGCTCCATCTGCACAGGGAGTCTCTTCCAGACAGCCACCAAGTCAGAAGCTGCGAATTGATTAAGTTATTACGGAGAATGTCATAATATTAGTTTAAACTACTGTAACAATCTGATTATGACGTTTCTGGCTTGATGTGCCGCTTTCTTTGAGAATTTGGTGATTACCAATCACTGCCACAACGGCCACATTGCTCGTTCATCCCGGGGACTAGAGGTGTTATGAATGCATCGTGTTAACACTCTATCTTCGGTGGCATTCGATTATAAGCTATGGAGAACGTGCTGGATACCCTTTCGACTAACTGCAAGTACGCTTGCGCGCACAACTGCAAGGAAATGCTAGA